GGATTTGTTACCGGGAAACCCCGGTTGGGCTTGGGGTGCCTGTGACTGTGTCCCATAATGAAGGCAGGGTTGGATCATATTAGGCGTTTATTGAGAAGGCTAGCCACCCAAGAATGCAGGGTGCTTACAAGCATTAATCCTGCCTTCCAGCAAGGTGCAGGGGACAGGATTATAAAGGGGAAGGGGCTAGGGAATGGAATGCAGCTACATGCAGTCCTGAAGGTCCCCAGATGCCAGCTATTGTCATCAGTTATCAGGCGATGAGATGACATTGACGAGCTGATGTTTTGACTACTGATGGGTCCTCCTGACCCTGCTTACTGGTTCTGCTTGCTGGATTCACAGCTGAGTCGCTTCCCTAATAGCTTCGCACCGCATTGAAAAGAAAACTTAAGAAAAACTTAATCCCCTATTTGCATATAAGAAACTAACCGGTTTGGCTCAGTGGATAGAGCTTCGGCCTTCGGACTCAGGGGTCCCAGGTTCGATTCCGGTCAAGGGCATGTACCTTGGTGGCGGGCACATCCCCAGTGGGGGGTGTGCAGGAGGCAGCCGATGGATGTTTCTCTCTCTCTATCCCTCTCCCTTCCTCTCTGTAAAAAATCAATAAAATATATTTTAAAAAAAGAAACTTAACTCTATTCACAGATGTATATGTGTTCTAAGATCTAAAATAATATTATTTTCAGATTAATTCAGGTGCTCTTTAGATTATAGGTCCCCCCTATCAAAAGGAGGATGTCTGTCCTCCTTTTACAATAAGGGTACACTTCTTTTAAAGAAGAAACAAACGTCTGCTCAAGTTCAGTTGATGTTTTGGACTTTCTGGGTTTGGGCAATTTTCAGTTGCCATCTATTTTTTCTCTTTACTTAGGGAATTCTGGTTAAGGTGATAATTCTTGAGTCTTAAAGGGACATGAACTAGCTTTTTAGCTTTTGGACAAGGCCGGACATAAGTCATTTCCTCAGATTATCTATTTACCAGGTAGAAAATTCAAGATGAAAGTGGAGGAGAAAGAGAGAGATGTCAATTGAATTTCTGATCTGGTGTCTCCTGGTTTAAAAAAAAAGTTTTTAAAGAGAAAAAAAAGAAAGTCAACAATAAAAATGAACCAACCATATTTATTTCAAAATATTCACATAATATCTACAATAATATCTAAAAATATGTTGATTTTTATGTTCAGCTCAAGCAATTAGTAAAAACAGACAGAATTATGCAAAAGAAATAAATGATTGATGATAAAAATGGAAACAAGCCCAGCTAGTGTGGCTCTATGGTTGAGTGTAGACCCATGCACCTAGAAGTCACAGGTTCTATTCCTGGTCAGGGCATGTGCCCAGGCTGTGGGCTCCATCCACAGGGTATGCAGGAGGTAACCGATCCATCAACATTTCTATCTCTCACTCTCGCTTTAAAATCAATAAAAACATATTTTTTTAAATCTTAAAAATAATAAAGGAAAACACGCATACAAAAATAGAGATGACTGATAAAAACATAAACCTGATACTTTTAAAGAAGACTAAAATGCAGATCTGGAGATACTGATGAAGGAAGAAGTTTCCAGGACTGGGGCAGGAAATACACAGCATGAGCCTGGAGCATCGTGTAGGGCCTGAAATTAAGGACATTCTAAAGACAAACACATCAATAGGCACACATCAAAGGGGCACAGGAACCCAAGGAAAGGGCTCCCAATGTCCAGAGCTCAAACAATTTCAGCAACATTAGAAAGTAGGACTGAATTATAACCAGAAATATAAATATCTGAGTCTTGCTGATAGAAATGGTTGAGTAAATAAAAAATTGGAGACAAATAAGTCCCTCCTGCAGAAGATTCCAAATAACCTATGTAGTACTGCACGTAAAGGAGGGAAGAGTAGCACCCTGTCCCCTGAGTGGGGCTACTTGCCACAAGGAGTAGTAATTTTATAGCGGAGAATGCTGACAAATACTATTTCAGTGAGAATCCTAATGCCTTTGATATGATGTGATAAAAATGGCACTTCGCCTCTATAATCTTCCTCTAAAAAAAAAGCCCACATCAACCCTGGCTAATTATAAGAAAAACATCAGACACCCTGGCTGGTGTGGGTCAGTTGGTTGGGTGTC